TCTGTAACTCATCATTCTCCTCGTCCTGAGGAAACTCAAGCTCAAAAAGCTCAGGGTCAGACTGAGCCACAACAGGTACATGACACCAAGATAAATAGCCAAATTCACTAAAAATGTAAACGACAAATGCTGGAAATGTGGAGAGTATGAAGGATCATTCCATTACATATGGTGGACATGCAAAAACAGCCACAGCTTTTTGGAAACAGATACATGAGATATGTCAAAAGATCTTAAAGAAAAAAATTCCTCTAAAACCAGAAGCTTTTCTTTTAGGAATGACTAATCTACGAACAGACTCCAATGAAGACGAACTATTTATTTATATGACAACAGCGGCAAGAATTGTATATGCAAGGACCTGGAGACAAAAATTAAGACCCCAGAAAGAGGAATGGATAGAGAAAATCCTAGACATTGTGAATATGGATAAACTGACGTTTTTACAAAGACACAGAATAAATATTATAGATGACTGACTGGACTTTACTAAAAACTTGGATTAAAGACAACAAAATGAAAATACTGATATAAAATGGACTATAAACATTAAGGCAGATAGAATTACCACAAGAAAAAAGAAGAAAGGTAAAAACATGGAGAAGTATAGACCAACAAATTGGAGAAAACTACTATGAAGAGACACGGAAGAACCCCCCCCCCCCCCCCCCCCCCCCCCCCCCGTGCCCTTCCCCAACCCTCCATTATCTACCCTTCCCCCCTTACACCTAGAACCCATCCCTCCCCTCTTCTCCCCAGTTTATTACCCTTCCCCCATCTCCCCTTCCCCCTTTCTACCCCTCATGTTTTTACCCTCACCTTCCCCTAAGACCCTCTCTCCCCCCTTTTTTCTTGCTTGTTTTTATGTATTAAAAACCTATCAATTTTTTTAAAAGAATCAATAACAGGCGCCCCACCCCCCATTGAGTGGTGTAATACTAGTGATCATAATGCAATTTACATGGGATCATATAGTCACTGTGACAAAGCAGTGTCCAGGCAGTCCCCCGAGTTACAAACATCCGACTTACAAATGACTCACAGTTAAAAACGGGGATGGAACAACAGGAAATGAGAGAAATCTACCCCCAGGAAGGGAAATTCACTTCTAAAGAGTTATCATGGGGGAAAGGAGTCTCCACTGAAGCTTTCACACCAATCCAGAAGCCAAATTTGTCAAAATCCAATTATCACGGAGACGTAAAGTGAGGTAAAATCTTCTGAACAGGAGTACAGACAGCAAAACAAAAACCACAGGGGTATTAACCCTTCCCTATGTGATCCAAAGCATGCGCAGACACACACACACACACTATAGGCTACAGAGCATCAAAAGCACAAGCCAATTTGTAAGGGTGGATCTACGCTGCCAAATGATGCACTGCCAAATGTGTGTGTCTGTATGTAAAAAGGCTGGATCTACACTGTTAAATATATGTGTGTGTGTGTGTATGTAGTGGGAATTACACTTTTTGAAAGTCCCATTTCTCACTTACATACAAATTCAATTTAAGAACACATCAATGTTCACTGCTAGGAGACTGCCTGTAGTTTCTAGCCAAGGAAGAGGCTACAGAGCATCAAAGGCATAAAGTTCGAGCTACACTCAAATGTGTGTTTGCGCGCGCGTGTGTGTGTGTATGGTGGAAATTTCACTTATAAAAAGTCTCATTTCTGACTTACCAATTCAACTTAAGAACAAATCTAAAATACAATATATTATATAATATTAATAGTATAATGTAACGGTAGTGTATTACATAAATTGTGGTATAATAATATAGTACAATATAATAATATATAATAATTGTATATTACATATTACAAGTAATATTACTAATAATACTGCAATATAGTGGTATAGTGTAATATAGTAATGTATAATACTAACATTGTGCTATGCTGATAATATAATATATGGTATATATATAAAATATAGATAATAGTATAATGTGATGCAATATAACACGAATAATAATATAAAATAATAATATGCAATATAATCATAATAATATAATATAATAACGGGGCCGCTGATGGCACAGTGGTAAAGCTGCTGAGCTGCTGAACTTGCTGAGCAAAAGGACGGCGGTTCAAATCCGGGGAGTGGGGTGAGCTCCCGCTGCTAGCCCCAGCTTCTGCCAAGCTAGCAGTTCGAAAACATGTAAATGTGAGTAGATCAATAGGTACTGATTCAAAGGAAAGGTAACAGTGTTCCATGCCGCCATGCCGGCCACATGACCTTGGAGGCGTCTACGGACATCGCCGGCTCTTTGGCTTAGAAATGGAGATGAGCACCAATCCCCAGAGTCAGATGACACTAGACTTAATGTCAAGGGGAAACTTTTACCTTTAATATAGTAATACTAATATATTAAATATAATTACTATTGATAATATATAATAATACATAATGATATACTGTTTTATTATTGCATATTTGAAGTTGTAACATTTTTGATTGTGAGATACATTGAGTCTTCATATGGACTTTGAGATTGTCTGGGGAGGCCCTTCTCTCGATCCCGCCTGCCTCACAGGCACGCCTGGCGGGGACGAGGGATAGGGCCTTCTCGGTGGTGGCCCCCCGGCTGTGGAACACCCTCCCTGTAGACATCAGACAGGCGCCCTCCCTTATGACATTCCGCAAGAGACTAAAGACGTGGTTGTTTGAGAAGGCGTTTGACTAAGTGCTACAACAATTGGCAATGATGATTGGAACGGAATATGGAAAACGAGATTGGATTGTGATTCTATGATGAGACGTCGCGAATGATTTAGTGTAATTGTATTATTAATAGTGATGTTGCTATTGTTGTTTGTGTAATTGCCTTATTGTAAATTGTTTTTTATATGTTGTACACCGCCGTGAGTCGCCCTAGGGCTGAGAACGGCGGTCTACAAGTGCAGTAAATAAATAAATAAATAAATAAATAAGGGGCTAGTGGCAAAAGCAAAAGCTGGGGCTAGTGGAAGGATCTCATGCCGCTCCCCACATTCGAACCTGCAACCTTTCAGTCAGCAATTTCAGCAGGTCAGTGGTTTAACCTACTGTGCCACCGGGGGCTCTATGGACAGATAACACAGGATATATATAAACATATATATAAATAAACATATCTGAGTCTCCCCTGACATTAAGTCTAGTTGTGTCCATCTCTAGGGATTGGTGCTCATTTCCATTTCTAAGCTGAAGAGCCAGCGTTGTCTGTAGACACCTTCAAAGTCATGTGGCTGGCATGACTGCATGGAACGCCATTACCTTCCTGCCAGAGCTGTACCTATTGCTCTACTCACATCTTTTCGGACTGCGAGGTTGGCAGAAGTTGGGGCCAGCAGCAGGAGCTGCCAATGCTCCCTGGCTTCAAATCTGCAACCTTTTGGTCAGCAATTTCAGCAGCTCAGCAGTTTAACCGGCTGTGCCACTGAGGGCTCCATTACTATATTACATTGTTACCTTCCCGCCAGAGCGGAACCTATTGATCTACTCACATTTGCATGTTTTCGAACTGCTAGGTTGGCAGCAGCTGGGGCTAACAGCAGCAGGAGCTCACAATGCTCCCTGGGTTCGAATCTCCAACCTTTCGGTCAGCAATTTCAGCAGCTCAGCGGTTTAACCGGATGCACCACTGAGGACTCCATTACTATATTACATTGTTACCTTCCCGCCAGAGCGGAACCTATTGATCTACTCACATTTGCATGTTTTTGAACTGCTAGGTTGGCAGAAGCTGAGGCTAACGGCAGGAGCTCACAATGCTCCCTGTCTTCGAATCTACAACCTTTCAGTCAGCAATTTCAGTAGCTCAGTGGTTTAACCGGCTGCGCCACTGCGGGCTCCATTACTATATTACATTGTTACCTTCCTGCCAGAGTGGTACCTACTGATCTACTCACATTTGCATGTTTTCGAACTGCTAGGTTGACAGAAGCTGGGTCTAACGGCAGGAGCTCACAATGCTCCCTGGCTTCGAATCTGCAACCTTTCGGTCAGCAATTTCAGCAGCTCAGCGGTTTAGCTGGTTGCGCCACTGCGGGCTCCATTACTATATTACATTATTACCTTCCCGCCAGAGCGGAACCTATTGATCTACTCACATTTGCATGTTTTCGAACTGCTAGGTTGGCAGAAGCTAGGGCCAGTGGTGGGAGCTCACAATGCTCCCTTGCTTCGAATCTACAACCTTTCGGTCAGCAATTTCAGCAGCTCAGCGGTTTAACCGGCTGCGCCACTGCGGGCTCCATTACTATATTACATTATTATATGTGATCTACTCACATTTGCATCTTTTCGAACTGCTAGCTTGGCAGAAGCTGGGGCTAATGGCAGGAGCTCACCCTGCTCCTAGGATTTGAACCTGTGACCTTTCGGTCAGCAATTTCAGCAGCTCAGGAGTTTAATTCACTGTGCCACCGGGGGCTCTATGGACAGATAAAATGGGATATAAATCAACCTATCTTGTTGCTAACATGGGAATTGCCTGTAGTTTCTAGCCAAGGAAGAGGCTACAGAGCATCCAAATCTTATGCCAATCTGTGAGGCTGGATCTACACTGCCAAATGATGCAGAGCTGCATTATATGGTCCTATAATGGTAGTGGAGATCCAGTGCCACCCCCACCCACACCTCTCTCCAAAAGATGGGCTCTATTTTAAGATCTCAAGCAGTGGGAGGAACTTGAAAATCAAGCCAAGCCAGGAAAGGAAGAAGCAGGTGGGGAGGAGGGGGGTGGCAATAGAGAAGTTGCTGCAGGAAAGAGGGCATTGGCCAGCAAGGCAGGAAGGGGAAGGGGACAAATCCCCCTGGATCACACAAGGAGGATGACTGGGACGTCCTCCCCCAGCATCCCAAGGCGTCCAAAGCAGCCTTCTCTCTCTATTTCCCCTGCTCTCTCTCCCCTGAGGGACCAATGCTACCGTATGCCTCCGAAGAGGCGCGCAACTCCAAAGCCGTCCCAAGGACGGAGCCACTGCGGCCGCCCCCCGCCCCTCTTCCTTACCTGCACCGGCCGGTAGGAGGCAGGGAGGGACCCGCCTCAGCCTCCTCCTCCTCCTCCTCCTCCTCCGGGCTCGGCTCCCCGCCGCTCAGCCTGCATCCTGCCGGGAGTGGAGAGAGACAAGAGGAGGAGGAAGGGAGGCGGAGAGAAAGGGGCGGTGCCTGGACCCAAGAGCCGCATCCCCCCCTCCCGCCCTCCAGTGGTAGCGCTCGATTTCGGGCTCCCGAAGCAGGAATGTACCACTGTTGGGGTTCAGCGGGGAGGGAAAGGTACGCTGCCTTATGTGTTTATATGCAGAAAAGGCTTGCTGTGCCTTGCAGCTCCAATTTGGGGGCTTAGCCATGAAGTGACAGGTCCTACCAGACTTTGAATGCTAAGCAGGGTCTGGATGGGAGGGGGAAGATCCGGTGCTGTAGGCGGTGTTTTAGGCTGGATCTACACTACCCTGTATCCCAGGATCTGATCCCACATTATCTCCTTATCCCAGATTATCTGGCAATGTAGACTCATATAATCCGGTTCAAAGCAGATCTACACTGCCCTGTACCCAATCCAATCCCAGGTTATCTCCTTATCTCAGATTATCTGGCAGTGTAGATTCATACAATCCAGTTCAAAGCAGGTAATCTGGGGTCTACACTGTCCTATACCTCAGGTTCCAATCCCACATTATCTCCTTATCCCAGATTATCTGGAAGTGTAAATTCATATAATCCAGTTCAAAGCAAGTAATCTCGGATCTACACTGCCCTGTACCCAATCCAATCCCAGGTTATCTCCTTATCCCAGATTATCTGGCAGCGTAGATTCATATAATCCGGTTCAAATCAGATAATCTGGGATCTACACTGCCCTATACCCCAGGATCCGATCCCACATTATCTCCTTATTCCAGATTATCTGGCAGTGTAGATTCATATAATCCGGTTCAAATCAGATAATCTGGGATCTACACTGCCCTATACCCCAGGATCCGATCCCACATTATCTCCTTATCCAAGATTATCTGACAGTATAGATTCATATAATACAGTTCATAGCAGATAATCAGGGATCTACAATGCCCTATATCTCAGGATCTGAACCCAGATTATCATCCCAGATTATCTGGCAGTGTAGATTCATATAATCCAGTGCAAAGCAGATAAACTGGGATCTACACTGCCCTATATTCCAGGATCTGATCCCAGGTTATCTTCTTATCCCAGATTATCTGGCAGTATAGACTCACATAATCCATTGCAAAACAGATAATCTGGGATCCATTCCTGGGATGTAGATCCAGCCTCAGGCCTTTTCCACAACTCCCATTGGCTCTAGTAATCATGTCTAATGATGAGGAATGTCTAAAGATGAGTTCTAGTCAGGCCTGTAGCGAGGGGGTGGTTTTAGGGGTTCAACCCCCCCCCCCGAAATGTTTCAGATTTTTTTAAAAAAACCTGGTTTACTCATGAATTTTAACTGGTTAACCAAATCCCCATGCTAAGTCTATGAGATGCAAAAAATTAAGAGTCCCTCCAGAACTGCAAGCACTATCTCAAGCAAATATTGACAATTTCTTCACACTGTCATTACTTGCAGCAATAGCCGATGTAGCGAAGCAACCAAGTTGGGGGGGGGTGTTGAATGCTCTCATTAAGGAGGCCAGACTTGGTGGAGGTGGTTGACAGGGGCAGAGCTGCAGGCTATTGAAGGCTGCTCTGCCCCCTGCTGTGCTCTTTGCTTCAGCGTGAGCTAGGAGGCAGGTTTCAACCCCCCCCCCCCCAAATTGTCAACCCTCCCCAAAAAAATTTTCTGGCTACGGCCCTGGTTGTAGTCCAGCATCTGGGGAGCCACATAAAATTACATCATGGGCCAGATTCAAACCATGGGCCTTGATACATGTGGTTTAGGGCATATAGTCAAAATTCAGAAGTGGACTCAGGAATGAATCAAAAGACAAAAGGCAAAGAAGAATACGGATTAATATGTTCATAGTACCTGATCCCAGTTAATATTTTAAAACTGTTTCTGAGCTACCCTCAAAGACTGTCCAGGTGCAATGCGTTGCAGTAATCCAAAAAGATATAAATATACAGTGGAACCTCGACTTAAAAAGCATCCCAAGTTAAGAGCATTTTGAGTTAAGAGCTGTCATTTGGCCAAGGGTTCACTTTGACATATGAGCAGCATTTTGAGTTAAGAGTTGGACCAGGGGGTGCACTAGCACAAGAGAACAGGGCTTTAGGGCTTCAAGGGAGCAGCCTCCATGCCTTGTGCCTCCATGCCTCATCCTTTTCTTTACTTTGGGAGATTTATTTTATTTACCATATTTATATCCTGCCTTTCTCACCCCAAAAGGGCCTAAAGGCAGCCTTATAGCAGGCCACAATTCAACAACAACAACAACAAAACTTTATTTATATACTGCTCTATCTCCCCAAGGGGACTCAGAGCGGTTTCCAAGTAACATAATCAATACATACAAAGAAAACAGCATAAACATAAAATTAACAAGACAATATAAGCATTAAAAACCACAATAGCACATATATTTAAAATAATCCTGTCTGTTCAAGGCAGTTTAAAATCAGTGCCATACATACATAAAATAAACAATTACAATTAAAACCAAACAAGTAAAACATCAATTATTAAAACATCAATTAAAATCATGCCAACCAAAACATAATCCAGGGCTGTTCCATTTGGTGGGGAGGGGGAGATACGGGAAAGGGAGACCTTCAATTCGACCTAGGGAACGGGGAACAACCTTAGTAATCCCAAATCGGTCTCCTGATACGGTAAGTCGGTGTAACCAGGATGGCGGTCCCTCCGAATTGAAAGTGGTGCTGTTGAACGCCAGATCTGTCAACGGTAAAACAACTTTCATCCAGGATCTAATCCTGGATGAACGGGCAGATCTGGCGTGCATCACAGAGACCTGGTTGGACGAAGCGGGAGGTGTAAATTTAACCCAGCTTTGCCCACCAGGTTTCTCTGTGCAGCACCAACCGAGATCCGGAGGGCGGGGAGGCGGGGTTGCAGTGGTCTATAGAGATACCATTCTTCTGACCAGGGCCCCCATCCCGCAGTCAACAAAATTTGAATGCGTCCACCTGAGGGTGGGTGACCGGGACAGATTAGGGATTCTGTTAGTGTACCGTCCACCTCGCTGCACTACAGACTCCCTGACTGAGCTAGCGGGGGTGGTCTCGGACCTGGTGTTGGAGTCCCAACGGCTGCTTGTGCTGGGGGACTTCAATATCCACGCCGAGTCCGCCTCATCGGGAGCGGCTCAGGACTTCATGTCTACCATGGCAACCATGGGGCTGTCCCAACAAGTATCTGGCCCCACCCACAGTGCTGGACATACATTGGACTTGGTTTTCTGTCAGGGATGGGAGGAAGGCGGCGGTGTTGAGGAGTTATCTATTTCTCCGTTGCCATGGACCGACCACCACCTGGTCAGCTTTAGACTTGCTGCACCCCCTAACCTCCGCAGAGGTGGAGGACCCATTAAAATGGTCCGCCCTAGGAGGCTCATGGATCCGGATGGATTCCTGACGGCTCTTGGGGAATTTCCCGCCACCTCGGTTGGTGATCCTGTTGATGCTCTGGTCGCTCTCTGGAATGGGGAGATGGCTAGGGCAATAGACACGATCGCTCCAGAACATCCCCTCTCAAGTAGCCGAGCTAAACCAGCTCCTTGGTTTACTGAGGAGCTGGCAGCGTTGAAGCGAAAGAAGAGGGAACTAGAGAGCGTGTGGCGTTCGGATCCGAGCGAGCCAAACCGAACACGGTTTGTGTCCTTTTTAAGGGCATATGCCGCGGCAATAAAGGCCGCAAAGAAAACTTTCTTTGCGGCCACTATTGCGTCTGCAAAGAACCGTCCGGCTGAACTGTTCCGAGTTGTCAGAGGCCTATTAAAACCCACCACTCAGGATGGGTGCCCTGATGACTCGGCAGCTCGCTGCGAAGCTTTTGCTCGGTTCTTCGCAGACAAAGTCGCTTTGATCCGCTCTGGACTGGATACCATATTAACGGCAGAATCTGAGGATGTCACCCGAGCATCTGCTTGTCCGATTTTAATGGATTCATTTCAATTGGTTCAATCCGAGGATGTGGACAAGGTGCTTGGAGGGATGAGAGCTACCACATGCATCCTAGACCCCTGCCCATCCTGGCTTCTAAAGGAGGCCAGAGGGGGATTGGCCGAGTGGGTGAAGGTGGTGGTTAATGCCTCCCTTCGGGAAGGCAAAATTCCAGCCAGCTTAAAACAAGCTGTAATAAAACCGCTGTTGAAGAAACCATCACTGGACCCCACTCAATTCGTCAACTATCGGCCTGTTTCCAATCTCCCCTTTTTGGGCAAAGTCATGGAACGTGTGGTGGCCTCACAACTCCAGGCATTCTTGGTAGACACGGATTATCTGGATCCGGCACAGTCTGGCTTTAGGCCGGGGCATGGTACCGAGACAGCCTTGGTCGCCTTAGTGGATGATCTGCGTCGGGAGCTCGACAGGGGGTGTGTCCCTGTTGGTGCTGCTCGACCTCTCAGCGGCCTTCGATACCGTCGACCACGGTATCCTTCTGGGACGCCTCGCGGGGATGGGTCTTGGAGGTACTGTTTTGCAGTGGCTCCGCTCATTCCTCGAGGGTCGGTCTCAGAAGGTGTTACTGGGAGACTCCTGTTCAACCCCACAACCTTTGTCTTGTGGGGTTCCTCAGGGTTCAATACTGTCTCCCATGTTGTTTAACATCTACATGAAGCCGCTGGGCGAGATCATCCGGAGTTTCGGAGTACGATGTCATCTGTACGCAGATGATGTGCAACTCTGTCACTCCTTCCCACCTGCTACTAAGGAGGCTGTCGAGGTCCTGAACCGGTGCTTGGCTGCTGTGACGGTCTGGATGGGGGCGAACAAATTGAAATTGAATCCAGACAAGACAGAGGTACTCCTGGTTAGTCGTAAGGCCGAACAGGGTATAGGTTTACAGCCTGTGTTAGACGGGGTCGCACTCCCCCTGAAGACACAGGTTCGCAGTTTGGGGGTGATCCTGGATTCATCGCTGAGCCTGGAACCCCAGGTTTCGGCGGTGACCAGGGGAGCTTTCGCACAGTTAAAACTTGTGCGCCAACTGCGGCCGTACCTTGGGAAGTCGGACTTGGCCATGGTAGTCCACGCTCTGGTCACATCCCGCCTTGATTACTGCAACGCTCTCTACATGGGGCTGCCTTTGAAGACGGTCCGGAAGCTCCAATTAGTCCAACGGGCGGCAGCCATGATTCTAACAGGAGCGGGGCGTAGGGAGCATACAACTCCTCTGCTGAACCAGCTCCACTGGCTGCCGATATGCTACCGGGCTCAATTCAAAGTGCTGGCGCTGGCCTTTAAAGCCCTAAACGGTTCTGGCCCAACTTATCTATCCGAACGTATCTCGGCCTATCAGCCCACCAGGACCCTAAGATCTTCTGGGGAGGCCCTGCTCTCTATCCCGCCTCGCTTCAGAAGTGCGGCTGGCGGGAACGAGAGAGAGGGCCTTCTCTGTGGTAGCCCCCCGGCTTTGGAACACCCTCCCTACAGAGGTACGATCAGCTTCTTCGCTGATGGTGTTTAGGAAGAGACTCAAAACATGGCTATTCAAACAGGCATTCGGCTAATTTTTGTGACAATCGAATCCAGGTGACTAAGGACAGGAAACATGGACAACGAATTCTGATTGTGGTTTTAACTTGAGATATATGGGACGATTATTGGTGGCCCAATAATTTTTAAATTGTTATTGTATATATATTGTTTTTAATTTGGAGATTGTTTTTAACCTGTTGTACACCGCATTGAGTCGCCGTTCCAGGCTGAGATATTGCGGTATATAAGAGTATCAAATAAATAAATAAATAAATAAATTTGTCATTCACATTGCACTGCTCCAATTATTTGTCAAAAGCTTAGTCCCAAAGCCATGCCTTAATTTTTTTTTTCCTGACAACCAGGAGAGAAGGGACTGATCTGATCCCTCTGGAGAGGGTGGTCCATAGCCAAGGGGCTACTACTGAAAAGGCCCTGCCTCTCGTCCCCTCCAATCATGCCTGCAAAGGAGGTGAGATCGAGAGCAAGGCCTCTCCAGACAATCTTAATCTCCGAGATGGGAGATACACTCTGACAGGTAAACTGGGCTGGAACCATTTAGGGCTTTATAGGCTAAATCCAGCACTGTAAATTGTGCTTGGTAACAGACTGGCAGCCATTGGAGCTGGTGTAACAGTGGGATTGCTGTCCTCTTTGCTCTTGTGTACTTTGAGGAACTTTGGGTTAGCTGATTTTGTGTTGTTTTTATTCCAGATATTTTTGGCTTCATGAAGAGAGAAGGGGGAGAGAGCAACGACCTCTTCACACTGGCCGCCAGAATCACCATGCATTGTGACAAATCCAGCGATTGCCGTTGAGGAGCGTGGGGAAACTATCACCCCGCATCACTTGTCTTACCTCTAGGGCCACAGTGGGAGGTGTCAACTGTCTAACTTCCCCCATTACTTCAAGGCAACACAGGAAGCCAACTGTGTTGCCACCGTGGTGGCATTCTCCACTTCGCCATCCCTTTAACCATGGGGCCCTGCCGGAAGTAGTGGTACGTCATGTAATGGGAGCTGGCGGGCTCTAGTCTCAAAGGGACAACAAATTGGAGCATGCCATCAATTCCTCCCCCCATCTGAGGAGGTCATATGAGAGGGAGGCTGGAATGAGTACAGTATGAAGAAAATGATGCTTCTGCCTCTTCACTTCATGCTTTGTGCTTCCTTGCAACAACTTCCTTGCCTCATGTAAGCCACACCGAGTCCCTTGGGGAGATGGTAGCAGGCTATAAATAAAGTATTATTATTATTATTATTATTATTATTATTATTATTATTTGTGTTTCTACCATTGGCCACAACTTTGAGCTTCTACCATTTTAAAGTTGATCTTTCTTTTTTATTGTTCCATGTGAATGTGCATTTTTATATTATGTTATTTATAAAGTGCATTTTCGTATTCAAGGAGACATAACAAAAAATGGGCGGGAGGAAGCGTTCGGGGGTCGAAACGGATTAATAGGATTTCAATGCATTTCAATTGGAAAGTTTGCTTTGAGATAAGAGCAATCTGAGTTAAGAGCTCAGTCACAGAACGAATTAAACTCTCAGCTCAAGGCATCACTGTACTGGATAAGTTGAAGCTGAGACAAATTGCACCTCTAATGGGCGTGATGGATACTTCAGAAGTTGAATCCAGAGCAGGTTGAATCTTTTGAATGAGATTGAAGCCATTTTTGCTCTTGTCCAAATGAAGTTTTGGTTTGTTGGCTCCCATTCAATTCATGACCACTACCAGAGATGAATCCAGCACTCTCGCTACTTCATGTGAATTAGAAGAGACCAGAAAAGATCCTGCAGCATTACAGCTAATAGGTTAATAATAAGTCTTCCAAAATGCTGTGTCCTACCGCTTGGCAACTTCACAGCTTTCGTAAGAGCACAGTAGGCTCAAATGAACAAGAGCTCCTAATCAGTCACAGGAAGGCGTGTTGACTACAGCTGTAATCATAGCACCATTATTTATAGAACAGGGATTTGCAGCTTGTTACCATCTCATCCGTTGTCACAATATATCAGTGATGGGAGACGGTCGTTTTTGGTCCCGACTTATTTCTATGTGTGTCATTTGCCATACTGTTTGCTTCTCCTAGAATCTTTTATTAAATAATATCTCAGACTTCTTCGGGAGGAGCAGCTAGGATCATTTCTTTCCTAACTTTGGGAGATTAAGCCAATGTTTGATCACAGAGTCACTTGTGAATAATTTTCTTTTAATGTGACTTCGGAAGACTAGGATAAGATGACAATCCGATGGCAAGATTAGCTCTCAGATTATGTGGGATTAGCCAGAGCTTTCTACTCTACTGCCATACTTACTGCAAAAGAGGCAGTATCCCAGGAGATGCACTGCGTACCATCTCCGGTTACTATGCCAGACAAAAAAAGGCATTGGAAAGATTTTTGAAAATGAAAGACTGTCTGAACAGATGCCCTCCTACCTCAGCTGCCCAGTACTCTGACAATATGCACTCCCCAGTACTTTCCAGTCTGTCACCTTTGTGGCTTCAAAATACTGGATTTCACCAGCATGTGTCCTTGAAAATCTTTATCTTTTTCTCACCAGCAGCTCTGAATTTTCTCTAGATCAGGGGTCCCCAAACAAAGGCCCATATGCCGGATACGGCCCTCCAAGGTCATTTACCCGGCCCTCGCTCAGGGTCAACCTAAGTCTGAAATGACTTGAAAGCACACCACAACAACAACAGCAATCCTATCTCATCAGCCAAAAGCAGGCTCACATTTCCCATTGAAATACTAATCAGTTTATATTTGTTAAAATTGTTCTTCATTTAATTATGGTATTGTTAGAGACCCTAAATTGGGTCTTCTTAGGTCCACATCACGGAAACACGTAAGGAAGGAGACAGTCCCAAAAAAGATTAAAAAACAAGGTTTATTTTAGTTTCTTCATGAAGAAGACGGACAGCCTGGCAGCATATGCAGATGCTACCCTTCAAGTGACTGCCGCGCCTCTCCTCTTTTTCTGCTGACTTTTATACTCAAGTAATAGGTCATGGAAAGTACTCTCTTTCCAGCCCCTCTCCCTTGACCTTTTGATGGAAAGTACCTTCTTGTACCTGCAGACTCTGCGCTTAACCACAACCTTTGAACTTAACCACAACACAACTTCCAACCTCTACATGTCACATCTTGTTTCTTAAAAACATTTTCTTCCGTGTTGCTCCTTTTCTACAGAGAAAGGGTATATTTCTCTTTTGCTGTTAATTTCATTCAAAGCCCCTTGCTTAGCATTTGCAAATTTCACTCAAAGACCCTTTCAGTATTGTTTTTAAGTGTTTTTTGCACTACAAATAAGATATGTGCAGTGTGCATAGGAATTCAATCATGTTTTTTTTCCAAATTATAATCCAGCCCTCCAACAGTTTGAGGGACTGTGACCTGGCTCTCTGTTTAAAAAGTTTGAGGACCCCTGCTCTAGACAGAAACATGGCAACTATTGTCCTGCACAGTGGAGTTGTGGATGGAAGATTGGAGGCTACTCCTCCAGTAGCACATTAAGTAGAAATGTTGACAGATTCTTAAGGGCTAGCTAATAGATAAACATTACAGTTTTGGGGTGCTAAAGAGTTGTTGTTAGAGGCCCTAAATTGGGTCTCCAGTACTTAAGGTCCAGGTCACGGGAGCACGTAAGGAAAGAAGCAGTCCCAAAAAAGATCAAAAACAAGGTTTTATTTTCATCATAGCCATGAGGAAGTTGGACAGACATATTAAGTGCACACAGGCACCAACGTTTGCGAATGACTGCCACCCACTCCTCTGTTTTTGCAAACTTTTATATACCCTCAGATAAACAAGAATATTTTTGTCATGAAAAGTACCTTGATCTTTACTCTTTCTGTCCCCCTCCCATCAACCTCTTGATGGAAAGTACCTTCTCGCACCTGCAGACTTTGTGCTTAATCACAAACCAATGTCCTATGTAAGCTTGTTAATATAGCAACTTTTCAAAAAGCCCAAACCTTTAACTTTGTATGACCTCTATACTAACATTTCGGTTAAAGCTTTTAATTTTGATGCCCTTAAGACCCCCCCCCCCCCAATTAATAAATATTAAGTATGACTCTTGGGATGTCACTGAAAAAGTCGGCTATGATGTAGATTTTAATTCTGTTGACATCGCCCTCCCACTGTGTTAAATATGTCTCTCACGTCTTTTGTTGTGGGAAAAGCTGCCCGGTTAGGAGATTGAAAGCAGCCAGGAGCAAAGGTTTACCTGATCTCACTGAAACTGAAGTTTGTGACTCAGGATGTAGAATTAATACAGTTGGACACCAATGGAACTGCTATGAAATCCTGGGATTTATAGGGGCCGGAGTGGCACAACAGGTTAAACCACTGAGCTGCTGAATTTGTTGACCAGAAGGTTGGTGGTTCAAATGGGCATAAAGAGGTGAGCTCCTGCTGTTAGCCCCAGCTTCTGACAACTTAGCAGTCCAAAAATATGCAAATGTGAGTTCCACCTCGGCGGAAAGGTAAACAGTGCTCCATGTAGTCATGCCAGCCACATGACCTAGGAGGTGTCTACAGACAAAGCCAGCTCTTCGGCTTAGAAATGAAGATGAGCACCACCCCCAGAGTTGGAGATGAACACCAGGACTATTCAATGCTAATCAAGGTAGCCAATTGCAACATTCACACTTGCCTCAAATAGACAGGAGTTCTTTGTCCTACCCTGGACAATCCACAGATCGATAAACTCCACTTGCCTATTTTACAACAGACCTCACAACCTCTGAGGATGGGGAAAACGTCAGGAGAGAATGCTTCTGGAAGATGGCCATATAGCGCAGAAAAATCACAGCAACCCAGGGAAATAAAAGATTTGTTAACATTCTTGAAAATGGGTTAAATAATCCATTAGAAAGGGAGAAATTTTCTCCAGTCCCAAAGCTTGGAAATGCTATATGACCATCCCTATTATTTCCCCTCACTGTCCATGTCTGATGCACATTTGGGCATTGCCATTGCCATAGAAAATATATTTCTCTTTATAACAAGAGTTTTGTTGAATAAGGACAAACCCGTGAAAGAAATCTAAATGCTGTATGCTTTTTTTATGTCAGGAGTGATGTTATTACATTAAAAACAATTAAAAGCTGTTAGTCAAATCATATAGCCAATCCAGTCCAATTCCATATCTAAAGTGCTGTTATGCCTGCTGTCCAAAAGCCTGGTCCCAGAACCATGATTTC